GAAACTGTACGAAATTTTGGTATATGTAAGCTAGAAATGTAACAGGAGATATGGAATTGAAAGTAGGATCAAGTGAATCGGTAATGTAATGGCCTACCAGCAGATGTTCCGCTGGTATAGTGCTCTCACCGCAGTTCGTCTCCGCCCGGCAGCCTCGATCACATGCTATCGTCTTTTTCTCATTGCGATAGTAGTAGAACGATGAGGTACATTTTCTTCAAAAAAATTGTATCAACAATAAGAACAGAGAATGGGGATGGGAAGTGTGATACCGTCGAAGGCGTATGGGAGCTTCCGTACGTGCCACCCGAAGCACATCCTCCCAGTAACCAGCAGCTTCAGGTAGAAGAGAACTCTGTAAGCAAAAATTTGAACATAAACTCTAGTTTAATATTCAAGAAAACATGTGGAAAACAGAATTATTGGGAAATGTTGGCATTCATGGTTAACAGGTTGTCTATACTGGTGGATCCAAAGCAAGTAGATTTTGTAGGGTTGCTCCAGTACGATTTTTGCATCCTCTTCTACACTCGTAATGAGACAGTAGACTAGAGATTTTCTACAACCTTCGGTCGCTGTGCCTTCTGCAGATGCACCCCAATAGCCCGTCATGATTTCCATTGTCGATGGATGAGGGCGGGCGTAATTCATGCATGCTTCGGTTTACCGGAGACTAAGTTATACAATTCAAAAACTTTCCAATAAAGATTTCACTTATGGGTCTTAATTTGTAGGGCGTTTTTGGATCTTTCCTTTTTGAAAAGACGTAACAGAGAGACATTTGATAAGCACAAAAAACAATCTCACGCTCTAGCTGTGTCACTAAATAGCCACTCGCTTTGCACCGTTCAGAACGAGAACCCTGTCAAATACATCGCGGAGTAGCCGAGTACAACTTGTAGAACGGTGCAAAGCGAGTGACTATTTAGTGACACAACTAAAGCGAATATTTGTTCCTTCATCAACCTATAAGAACACATCAATGAAGGCCATGCTTCGGTTTTTGCCGGAGGCTAAGTCCTGGGCTTACGAACCCATTCCGCTACGTATACACATGTAAGCGAAAAGCTTCACAAGCTTCACCACATTCTGTTCATTAGCAACTGTTCCATGTACGCGGCTTTCTACGCATTTCGCCATGATTATATTACTGCATTTATTGATGTCTTGAACTCTTCACGAGGTTTGCAAATATCCTCTATTAGGCTGCCGTTTCGGCGGAATCGCCTTCTTCAGTGCCTGAAAGGATCAAAACAATCTGTGGCTATCACCATCACTATTTGGGTGGTTTCGAGGAATCCACTAAGTTACGGTGAATGGTTCTCCTTTCGATCACCTGTGTGCCCTGGAACTCGAACTTAGTGGGTCCGTGGAGACGTTTGATCGGATAGTCACAGATTGTTTTGATCCTTTCAGACTCTGAAGAAGGCGATTCCGCCAGAACGTCAGCATATTAAAGAATATTTACAAACCTCGTGAAGAGTTCAAGACATCAATAAACACAGCGATATAGTTAGCAACTGTGTTCCGAGACTTACTGGAGTATCCTCTTTTTTTTGGTGTAGTTTTGTGCCATGCTCGCGACCTGTGCAGAATTCCCGACCATAGGTCACCCACTGTTGATGTTATAATTCACGGGCTTTCCACACTGTTTGCAGTGTCCGGTTTCTTTGTCGGCTTCTCAATTCCGGCAAGGAAATTCCAGTTTTTGCTCGGTCTACGTAGTGGACGTTGTAAAGATCATCATTGAGGCTATGTGCCCACTCTTGATCAAATCCAAAGAAGTAATACTCCGAAGTCTGGTACTTGAACTCTATATCCCTATATAACGGTCATCGCTCTTACTTCAGAAATGAAACGCTTCATGAAAACCGGCGACTTGGAAGGTTAGGTTACTGCACGATTCGGACAGATAGACTGCAGAGTTGTTGCAATTTATGCCCCTCCGAGGGTTTCACAATGCTCTTCCCCAACTTTGCCAAGAGGTTATTTACGAGTTTGTTTACGTAACGTAATTACGACTAAGCATTCGAATTCAAACGATGTAACTTTCCAAGATTTACCAAGCTTTCACTTTGCAGTACTGTCATAAACGACTCTTACCAGCTAGAGAGTACGACCAGAAGTAAACAAAGCCCTCATCGCAACAGTGCAACTACCACTGTCATTTGACTTCGTTTACCATTTACTCTTTTGCTTTCCCTAATTATATGCCACATTTTATCATTTAATGGCAAAGTTTTGACTATTATTTGTAAAAATCAACACAAATTACACAAAATTGTGGGATTCAGGCAACTCACATTTACAAACAGCTGTTTTTCACTAGGCAGATTCAGCACGGACTCGTCATAATGGAGATATATCCGAAGCGGTTCAAACACTGTCGTCGATTTCGGAGATCTCCGCGTTCGACTTGGCTCAATCGGCACTTCGAGTAGTACGTCTTCAACGCGGGGGTTCTGAACCACGATTGCTTTTACTGATTACTAACCTCCACAGAAATAATCATCATTTCAGATGGTAGTACTTCGAGAGAAGCAGGGCTGTGGGGTAGTCCCGGTTATCATAAAAAGATCCACAAAAATGCGTTGTTCGATTTTTGATATTGATACTGTAAATAAGCTCAACTCAAGCTGTAGGAAGACAAGCCGGTAGGGCAGCAATAATTCCATTTCAATCCATTTTAATCAGGATTAGGGCCCCAAGTGCGAGGGGGAGGGGGGGAAGGGGCTAAACCTTCCTAATTTGTGTGGCCGCACTGGCTCTTCCACCAACTGCTCAAACTTCATCATCTACCCTCGGTCAGATAAAAGGCGGGTGCGCGGTTTATCTTACCTGCTTGTGTAGTGTGGATGCCCAAATGCGCTAATCGCGCGGCTACTGTAATCCTATAATGAGGAAGGATTGTACGTATATTTGTCTATGGCAGTGACTAAACACAATGCTGGCTACGTGACTGCACGGTCACTGATTATGATGGTTACTCAACGGGGTCGTAAATAATGGCGGCTTCTTTGTATTGCGAGGTGGTAATGTACCGTTCGAGGCTGCGGCCGAGTACGTCAAGTTTCACTCCAGGATGCGGTGCAAATTCGAAATTAATGGAGGTTCGCAGCATCATTGGGATGGGTATTTGGCTTTGTAGAGCAGACAAGGTAGCGTTTGTTCACAAGGATTGCATTTGTAGCTGTTCAATGGCGTCAGCTTTTTCAGTTGGGTTTTCGATGATTCAAGGAAAATGCTCACGAGACTGATCTAAACAGCTAACAAATATGTATAAATTGGATTACAAATCTATAACCTGGAGGCACTTTTTCAAGCTTTCCTACTAACCATTTGATCAAAAATAATTGATAAAAAAACTAAAACAAATTGCTACTATGGATGGAAAGAATGACCTTATATGAACAAGGAATGCTGGTGGCATAGCGGTGGAGTGCCAAAATGCACAAGCCGATAAGTAACATCGAAAATGCACGGTGACCACTCTGCCAGTATATCAGACCATTCCCATCTATGCGTTGCTAGAAGCACCTGAAACGAATAAGCTTGATGAGTTAAAAACAGTAGCAGGGTGGCTGAAATAAAAACAACGCAACGGAAATCGATGAGAGCTGCCATATTGATATTGTAGACGGTAATAGAGTAAATAAATCACAAACAGTTTACAGCATGTTCAGTGAACGTTCTAAATGATAACACACGTCGGCGTCTCCATAGTCCCCAAGGGTCCATGGCGCAATCCCGTTTACCAAGGGCAAACATCCATAACAGTATGCTGTCGCCTTTCAAAAATGTAACAACGAAACGTGGAAAGTTTTCGGTTCTGGTGCAGAATTCGTCTGTCGCAATACAAGAATGCTATCTCCAGTAGTTTTGGATATGGACCAAACCCAGCCAACACTGGCCCCATTTTCGGGCCACAAACTGTTCAGGTGCCCTCAGGCTCTTCAGATGCCGATACCGCCGAAACGTCAGCCCAATAAAATTCAAACAGTAAAGCTCAAATACAAAGCAATTAAAAGGGCATCCCGACTTTTGACCTCACGGAGTGAGAAGCTGACTGGAATAACCCGACCATTACTGAAAGATTTGTCACTACACATGAATAAAGAAATGAACAACTGCTGTACCACCTGCAGGCTCTCCTTTTTATTGGTGTTATCTGTTCTCTTACGCCATTCATAATTATAAGGACATCACGAAAAAAAGGACAAAGAACTTGAGATTATGACTTAAGTAAGAAGATTCGTGATAAGGTTTCTCCTGGTTGAAGCGTGACATCAAATATTGCCAGTAGAATGAGCTGGAAATGAAGTTCCGAGAACATCGTGCCTACTTGGGTTACTCTGTCGTTCAAAATCCCGGAATTCCCACATAAACATCCAGAGAAAATTTCCAGAAGAGTCTCCGGGGAAATGAGGTAAGAACTGTGGAGTGGCATGAGCAGAATAATCATGTTTGGGAGTTGAGCTACTGTTTCGATGAGCAATCACGGGGATAACAGCTTGATCCAAAAAGAAAACGTCAAAGTCGACATCCCAAAAAAAGGCTGCGTTTCGACAGAACATCGTCGTAACATCGTAATCCACATAGCCAGAATTACAGACCCTTAACCTAAAATTCAACACATCGGAGGGAAAATATTTCAGCCCAGAACATACACTTTCCCCAGCAAAATTACAACGACTGAAGTGGAAAGGCTTCTTCAGCAGTTTACACTGGTAGTCCTCGCATAAGTTGTGACAAACTGACATCCATGGATGCGCCGAATGACTTTGATGTTTTCCAGTTGATTGAGGGGTAAACCACCTATGCCCGGTATAATTCTCGAATTCAACTTTGCAAATTGGGGTCAAGCCACTTGGAACAGGTCGGTATAGGCGCTTGAGCCTTTTTAATGCTTTCCCGACTGTCCTTGTTTCCTTTCACTGCTCTCTAGGCTTTCGTCGTAGTACATAGAAAGTACGGCAGATCTGTTTTTGGGTGCTGTTTGAAGTGAATCGTGGAACTGATTTTTTCCACTGACACGTTATCAAGAGAAGATGCCCATTTTGTAAGATACATGGTATAAGGAGACAACAGAGCTGTTCAAAACCATCGAATGGAGCAAAAGAGACCTTTCCCAGAACCATGTATTGGCTCCCAGATTGTTAGACCAGTTAGCTGAATCTATGTCATTCTTCGGGAAAGCAGCAGACGAGCACTAGGCATGCGAAAGTGCTATGGTCTCCAGTATGCTGTAGTGGATTGGTAAATCATAATAAACACTGAACGAAGGATATACGTGGGCAGTTGACAGCGGCGCTTCTGCCAAAATCGTGACCAGAATCGCTGATCTTTCACTCAGTCTGACTGAGCCGTTTCTTCTTTCTATGCTCGTTAGTTAAAATCTGTCTGTCCGGAAGGAAACATTTGAGTGTCATTGCGACTTTTACGACGCGACTTAGTGGTGCGTCCATTAGGAATTGCTGTGTTGGCCATCCAACACAACAGCGCTTTACCCTAAAGGTTAAAGAAACCGTATTACGGGTGTTTTGACCGCAGACAGGATCCAACACAATAACACCGCTTAGAGGTCAAGCTTACGTAGAACAGTACCTAACTTCGTTATCTTACACAATTAACGGCGATAGCCATGAACGATGCGTTTTTTAGGTCGACAAAATCGGGAAGAGAAGAGAATGTGAAATTGAGAGCGGATGTGATTAATGTGACTACCCAACGTACCTTATCACCATTGTGTACGCAATTAGGCCTGGTTTTTGGCTTTATCGCTGCGTCCCTAATGAGCAAAGAAAACCTCAGACAGAAAAAAAGCAAATATGTGTTCCATACACGTGAAGGGGACATGAGCATTCCCATCAGAAGCGATTCGCCCACGAAATGGACCCATAACAGGTTCACAGTTGAATGATGATGATGAAAGTTTCTGAATTCTCTACACAAACCATGCATCTGTATGAAAGCGATACCAGTCCAGCTCCGCCGGTGGTGGGAGCAGTAAAACTATTACATATAAACATTGCCATGGAGATGACGAGTAAACAATCCCAATGAGGCGCCAGGAACTGTTTACAAACGAATCGAGCAAGAAAAAGCGAAGAAACAGGTCCTAGATAGTGAGTTTGCAATGAAGAACATTCGTCGAAGTCGAATGCTGCAGCCAACGGCAAGCAGTATTCCCACGACCCATTGAAAAGGAATTCAATACATCCGGAACGTACAAGAAATGCTCCCAAACAGTGATTGCGCCTTTTATCTTTTTAGGTCACAAGCGAACTATTAGGGCAATCAGCGAGTGTTCGTTCCTTTTTTTGGGCGAACAAATCAGTTCTATGGCCAGAGGAACAGCTCTCTCATTAGGTCATTACGGAGAAAAGGCTGATGGTTGAAGAAGAAATGGAGATGAATGAGGCTCTACGGAAGGCAAAGCAAAATCGAATCAGTCGAGGTTCAAACATTGTATTAATAAGCACCAATCGAGGAAAAACTGTGAAAATAAAATTGAAATCGAATTCTTGCCAAAAACTCTCTACAGAAGTGTTTCCAATCTCATGAATGACCCTGGAACGATTGCGATTTCTTACAAGGGTGGAGGAGGAATCTCCCACTTGAGTGCATTCAATGGAATGAAGGAAATCGGAACCCGAGTGGTGATGTCGATAAACCGACAATAATATCCGATTCAAGTCATTTCATACGGATTAGATAAACGAACAACAACAACAGTGATAAACCGCTGAGCAGCGGTGGTCAGTATATGGGAACATCCTCGCCCACATGGATCGGAGTCAACTGATCGATTCCCGTGTTCGTTTGTTTCTATGCATGTCAACAAACAACGCGGACGCCCAGACGCCCACAAACGGCTGGCCATCGCCGCCGCAACATCGCCAGCTTTGGCACTCCGAGTAAACACCCTCAAAACACTTTAAGCGCTCAGTCACTCAGGGCTACATAATCGCTTAGAAAAGCTCTTAAGCGGGTCGCGGTCTGCATCACTAAGTGGACCAGAAATGATAAGCGGACGGCAGTGACAACAGAAAAACAGCAAACAATGTCCTGAATTACACCCACTTCATTCCTAAAATTCCGTTTTGCTTTAATTTTTCTCTGCAATCTCACATCCTCCACCAATTTTAATTCATTATTGAATAGCTGTATTCACTTGTACGATATTCAAAAAATCCTTATCCAAACAACATTCCCTTAAGGGGGACCAATCACTACTATTTGATGGTTCATCATGAGGGAGCTCGAAGTAACAAGCAGATCTTCAGGACTAAAGCTGGTTCTGGCCACAAAAAGAAGATCCAAGGCCAGTGTAGAAGGATGAACTAACCATTCAACTTTGTGTTTCTCTCCTCCTCGTGAAACTGGAACAACACATAAGTACCAGGTCGAGGGTGTTACAGTTCATTGTTACTGTATTAAATCTGTATATTGTAGTTTATAGGTTAATGGGATTTGAGAGGTCATTGCAGGTTCCGGGTAATAGTGCTTGCTAATCCGCAAATCAAAGCAATCTGGGAGAACCGGGTATAGCCAGACTTCAAATGAGTAGGACTCAAGTGTCAAGTGGCGAATGCGGCAATATGCTGAACACAGCTGTACTATCCTAGAGAAAGCTTCAATGACTTTCTTAAGACATCTACACTAGACCAGCACTTCCTGGACGAGATCACGGTGGTTTCTAGCCGAAGAACGACTTGAAATGGTATGGCCAGCTTGCCGCAATCAAAGAGAATTGCTCTACAGCTGGACTTCGTCCGGTCACGCATGACGCATCCAACCGATTTCATCCATTATAAATTTTGGGGCACAAATTAGAAGGCTACGTAGATCCTTACAGCTTTGACGAGCCACCAACAGAGTCCATGGTCCACGACAAATTTGTTTCTTTCCCGTGGATGGCCATTGGAAAAAAGCTGGTCAATTTCAGGCGAAAAGATCAGAATTCATGGGAGAGTAGGATTTTAAAGAACGACAAAAAAAACAGAAACAGACTAAATTAAAAAAGGTCTATCAAAAAATCGGAGCATGCCGTAGGGGTGCTCAGCACATCCAACCATACCTAAACCGTGGAATGAATCCTTCTGATCATCTGTCCATGGCTTTGAAACGCTCAAAAATGTTTGAGTACTCCAATAAATTAAAGGATATGCAGGAGGATGGAGGTGAGACGTAGCAGCTGTTTAGCATAAGCAAGCATGACCTGAAGCCGTCTCCTTTCCCAGAGCCTCGACGTTTATCACACCCATATCTTTGCCTAGACGAGTACTCCTGAGAAAGTTGGATAGGTGTCCAAGGAACAACAGTATGGCAGAATAATT